TCTCTCTCTCTCTCTCTCTCTCTCTCTCTCTCTCCCCCTCTCTCCCTCCCTCTCTTTCTCCCTTTCTCCATTGATATCTCATTTTCCTTCAACCCAGCTCTTCCTTCTCTCTCTTACACATGCACGTGCACACATGAAAAAAACGAAAACTTTCGCGTACACACACATACAACTTGCACACATGCGCCCACATACAACTGATAAGGACAGTTTATAGATGTGCCTTATGTTCTCTCATATCCCAGCGATGTACAGTTTCCTGCTGCACTGCCGTGACCTGGTGACGGAGGATGTTATACGTCGCATGCTGGCCCCTCTAGAATGTGCCCTTGTCATGATGACACAGTGAGTGCTCTCATAGTTTAGTGCTCCTCCCCCCAATAGAGGGGGGACATTAACATGTTCTTATGCACAGTAGAATTGTTAATGGGTTGATTTATCAATGTCATGCTCATACTGTTCCGGAACAACATAGCTCTCCTTCTTTGCTGTCAAGATCTATCGTCTTTATCTCTTCTCCTTTTTTGTGTTTGTTACTCTCTTGTAACACCTCTAATCTTTGGGGCACTTGTATAACCTTTTTGTATTTCACGTACCTTATAACTCTTGCTGAAACCAAAGAAATATACTTTTAATAATTTGAGTGGGTGGTTGGCGGGTGCTCTGGTGTGGTTTGCTTCTTATTTCCTATCAAACATCTATGCGCGCTCATATGACCTTAGCAGTTGCGAGCGCCGTAAAACCTTATACTATACAAACATCTATCGTCTTTATCTCCCCTCCTTCTTTTTTGTGTTTGTTACTCTCTTGTAACACCTCTAACCTTCGGCACTTATATGACCTTATTGTGTTGCAAGTGCCGTAAAACTCTTACAAAAACTTAACTAATAATTTGAATCATTTTTTCTGGTCAAAAGCTATGGCTCTTGTATCTCATCTTTGCCTTCAAGACTGGTCCCACAAATTATTGTGCTCTGTGTTACTCATAATGCTTTATGGACACTAGCACAGGACAAAGATGGAAAAGGGTGGATTTCACTTTGTTGCTTTGTACATCACAGAACTTTATGTTTCATTCCTCATATGATACTGAAGGGCTCTATTTCCTATTTCAAAGGTTAGACATGTGTTGAGCGATGGCTGTAAACAGTGGAAAATATTTGTCTAGGTATGAGTGGGTGTAACTGTTGTTCTGTCTGTGTAAATAATCAAATATATTCACCTGTGGAAAATTAGTGCACTGACTTTATGGTGTCATTTTTTTTCTTTATTTCTCTCTTGTATGAATGGAAATTTTTCGACACAGAATGTTATCCTTATTTGATTGATTCATTTTTTTTTCCTTGTATACTTTCAGATTGGCATCTGTGATAAAGATGTATGGTACTCAGTTGAAGGCAAGTGCAGCCACCATACGTCTTCGTCTTTATGACGTTCTCTCTCTGTTACCTCCGGAGTCCTTTGATGGTGAGCTTTCTATTTATGAATGTTGCCCTCTTGTGAGCTGCTCTGTGCTGGACATTGAAGACTTGGTGTCAGTCGTGTAAAAGCTTGCGGTTTCATCCTATTTAGTTTTGTTTTGGTTTTTTTACTTCTTAGGAGTTATGGTGTTGTAGCTTCGACCAAGTTTTTAAAAAGAACCTACTTCTTTTTGTTTTTAAAGGCTTTTTTTTTGTAAGTTGTTAAAAAGACCCTACTTTTTAGAAAAATATCCTTTTCTCAGTCAAGCTCTTAAACAGAAATTAATTATATTGACAAGGGATCCTGGACAGTGTAAATATTGTAAAAGTACTTGTGTGCCTGTATGAATTATTTTGACAGAAACAGGACTTTTAAGGTTTTTTTAAGCCCCTGACTTGCCTGTAATTTCTATCAACGGCCACATAGTAACTTGAAAAGGCTACATTCAAAGTATCTTCTTTTCAGGTCTTTAGATGTTATGTAAAAAAATTATCACCTTCTACATAAATTTCACAACTTTTTGCTTTATCATTATCAATTAATGTTTTAGAAAAGAGTATTTCTCGTAATGTGTAGGAAAGTTTGGCCTGCTCTGTGTAGTGTCAGGACATGAGAACCTTTAAAAAAAATGTTTTCATCCCTAGGTCTGTACCCAAACCTACTGCGTGAACTGGTGGCAGAGTTCACCCTGACTGACAACCCTGCCAACACCACCACGTCACAGCTGAGGTTTATGTGTCACGCCGACGACAGCGTCATACTAGGTTCCTGGCTGCAGGAGACAGACCACAAAGCCATTGAGGACCAGGTGAGCACATATTCCCCCCCACACCTGTTTTGTGAATAATTATTCCTTGCTAATTTAGCCTGGGTGGACACTTTTCCCATTGATTTCTTACATATGTTTCTCAAATTGGCTGGGAACTTTGGACGAATTCTACAATTTCCTCAAAAAGATTTTTAATTCTTTTTTTTTAGTTCCTTACCTTACCTGGTCTATGGTATAAATCTGTTCATACGATAAACATTTCCTCCTGCACCCTGAACTGAATAAACAAAAGGCTTTAATATCATTATTTCCCCAAGTTGGTAGACAACCACTTACAAGTGTGCTCCTGACTTTTGTTTGTGCAGGACCTGTAGACAGGGCCTCACTATTAACTCATGGTTTGTCTGATCACACCTGATTGACACATGCAGCCTCGACTTTTCTGCTCTTATTTTTCTCACTTCATCGTGGAAGCTGTCTTACAAGTGAAAACAAAGTGCAGTCAGGCACGCAGAACTCACACACAGCGTGGATTGACAAATGTGTTCAACACATCCATAATTTGGGTTTACTGATAGCAAAGAATTAAACAGATATCAGTTGGGCAAATGACAAATTTTAGGATCTATCTGGCTTTGAGTTTTTCACGTTTGTGTTATTTCTGCCCGACTATATCTGTAAGGCTGAGCTTTACAAAGAACATTTTAACTTTCATACTTTATTTTCTTATGCAAAGATACAATATACTGTCGTGGCCCTAGCAGACAATTGTTAACGATGGAGAAGAAGAGTTTAAGGAATTTTTGTTGCTTTTATCTGAAAAGACGAAGAGAGCATAAATTGATGGCCAGCTGAGAATCTCCACTGAAAAATTGATTGTGTTGATTGTGCTAATGATATAATACGTTTTTGGTGTAAAGTGTGTGGCATATATTCCACATTCAGAGATATAGAAGGTGAATTTATGTTTGACATTGAGAGAATCTATATTTTTTAAGGCTCTGTGATATTTAGTCTGTGGATAAGTACAGTAAGGAATAGAAAGTGGCCTTTTATTTTATTACATTGTTTATACACATATGTGTATGCTGTTGATCACTTCACACCACGCAATAATGAAGAAGCTGTGTAGTAGAAAACTGTTGTTATGAAAAATTTCCTTCCACTGTTACTAAGATAGAGAAGAATGCTATGTGATAGAATTGTGTGTTCACTTAATGCTGCCTTGATGTTGTTTGGTTTTATGTACATTGTCTCATTTCCATGTCAGGCAAAAGCTAGAGGGGAAAACTATTGTTCACAAATAAGATACTATTACTCTTATTTTTTGATAATTCAAAATATATTCTGTAACTTCATGACAATCCTTTTTTTTTTCTCTATCTAAACTTCAATTTCAATTGAATACCCTGTGTACTGTGCCCTATAGATGGAGCCAAATCGTAAAGTGGATAAAGAGTATGTAAGTAACCCACAACAGTGAAGGAACAACACCCTCCCAACTTTCACGGTTCCTCCCGCCCCCCACCACCACCACCACCACCACCACACGCAGCCACATCCCCCCTCCCCCCCTCAGAAAGCAATACACAAAAGATTGAGTTTGCTGATTGTATTCCCTGCCTGTGTACAGTTTCTATGGTTGTCGCTGCCTGGCTGACCAGTGGTCTCTTAGCATGGTCCATGTGAGCTCGACCAATGTCTGGGCTTAGGGACAGCACATCTGTACTCGAGAAATCTCGGAAAATGCGGGGGTAGGGGGGAGGAGGGGGGATAGAACAGTGTCACTGGGAATACAAGAAAAACTTGTGGAAGTGTTTGCGATATAGAATGCAAAGCTTAAACGATATGATGCGTTCAAACTTCTTTATTCCTTTCAGCACATCGTTAGTTCACAGGCAAACTTTAAAGTGGGTAGTTGGAGGGGGTCACTGGTAGATCCAAATGTGCTTCTCTTTACTCAAACAAATAAGGGAGCAGAAATGGTGTTCCGCTGTGTTTGACAGCACAGAGACTGAAAACGAGAAAAAAACAGCTGGCAGGGATCATATTTCAGACCTCCTAGTTGGAACACCAATGCCTTTTGAGCTACTGAGCCCTCTTTGGGATGTTTTTAAAGCTAGTGCTAGAAAAGAAAAGGGATGATCATGAGAAATTCTCATCAAGTTGGAAAAGGAATTATTGGATGTTTGTCGAGCTCCATGTCTTGTGACCAAAGAGCCGTCTGCCTCTCGCTGTTTGTTTGTATGTATGAATTGTCTCAACAACCCTTACTCCCTGGTCTTGTCTTAGACAGATTCAGTCCTGACCTTCGAGTTAATACCATAACCATAGTGAACCATCAGGAAAATTAGTGGTTCATTGTCATTGGAGATCTTTTAAAAATAATAGTATTGTATAAGGCTGAATTCAAAAGGACTTCTTCAACGGTACTTGTGAGAAAATCAGACTTACAGGTCTGTTGTGTGTGGCTAATTCCTATATCAACTAATGGAGTATTGAGCATATTGTACCGGTAGGAAACCCCTTCTTAGATTCAGTGCTTTCATTTCTGCCAGAGCTCTACGCTGATTGAAGTGGTGTATTATATCTTCTGGCAATTTAGATTAATAACAGTATCTTTTGAATATATTTGAAAAGAGCTGATTCCAATCAGTTCCCGACTGCCAGGTCAAATCTATTATTTTTAATTTGCATCTGCGGACATTTGCTCCTCGTCATTTATGTTGCAACAAATTTGTGCATTTGGTGTAGAGTACAATCACTGTGATATGCCTGTGGGTAGTCAGTCATTATAAGCATTGTGCATATTAACAAATACTTCTCACAAACTCCAGAAAAGTTGCAACACAGATGCCAGTCCTGCTTGTGTTCGGTTTGTCCATTGAGTTTGAGCCGGTACTATGAATTAAAAAACAGATGCTTCTGGTCGTTTTTGAGGTCCCACAGCCCTTTGTTAATACATGTCAGGCCTTGGGATTTTGCTAAACAACATAGTAATCAGTCTAGTAATTCAAAACTTTAAGTTCATCTGTACTCTTTGACTGTATGGACTGTAGTAAGGCCTTGCTGCTTGAGTTGTTGTCTGGCATGCAAGGCATGGTGTGAATAGATCTCTGTGCTTAAGAGGGTGTGCACGTGATGTGACATATTAAAACTGGAAAGGAATGCTGTAAAGGCATTTGATGCCAAAAGTTGTGGAGGACTATTATCAGTGGACTAGATTTGGATATGCATTGGCATCTCAATGAGCTGTTTAAACTTTTCTTTTTAAACAACGTCCTGCCCTGTGCACACCCCATAAGCACTGTGCATAATATGTCCCTGGCTGTCTACTGCTAGGAATGCAGGAATAAAGAATTTGTTTCTAGTTTTGTTTATAATTTACGCAAGAGCCGTAGGGTACATGGAAATGAGACTTGTTTGTTCATGAATGTTTCTGTGTATGGATACATTTGATTTGCATGATCATCTCTGCGTATGATAGAAATAATGTGCCCTTCACAACCCTGCACTGGTCAGACATATTTTTTTATCCACATATTTTTGTTCCTTTTGTGATTAAATTCAGTTGATACCTATTATAATTTTTTTTTCTTGCATAAATACTTTGGATTCTTTTCTTTTTTGTTGGTTTTTTTTTTTTCGTGGGTTTTTCATGATAGCCTTCACGCTGAACTGTGCTTGTATTGCCTCTATTTGGATGGACTCCTCTTGTTCAATTGATGCTAAACATTTATCTAAAGACCTTACCTTTAAAGCTGAGGCAACATTTTTTTTTTTACCTGACTATATAATTCCCTAAAATGTTGAGAAAGGTTAACAAATTTCCCGCTCTACCCTCAGGCCACTTCCACCACAATCACCATTTTTTTTTTTTTCTTCCATTGTTTTTTGTTTTTATTGCCATTCCCATCAATAATTTTTCCAAGTTTCATAGATTTTTTCCTTTCACAAATGCTTTTCTCTGTTTGTCCCTATCCTTGTTGTTTGCATTATGGTCCTTATGTGGGGACAAGTTATTAACAATATGTTTTAGTCCTGCATGTCTTGATCTGATACCATTGATAATGGGTTTTTTATTGATAAATCGGGCCAATGTTACTTATATTGTATAAGATTGATTCCTGCTGATCCTACGTTGTGGGTGGTTGGCGGGTGCTCTGGTGTGGTTTGCTTCTTCTTTCCTATCAAACATCTATCGTCCTTATTTCCCCTCCTTCTTTTTTATGTTTGTTACTCTCTTGTAACACCTCTTATCTTCTGGTGCTCATATGACCTTATGCAGTTGCGAGTGCCGTAAAACCTCTACTAAAACTAAAATGATCCTACGTTCCAGCTGTTTTGTATAGACAGTTGAAAGGTGGCAGATTCTTGCAGGTCTTTGTTGTGAGTTTGGAGGGGGGTAAAAGGGGGGGTGGCTCTCTGAAACCGATGGTACAGCTCATGAACGATTGTAGACCTCTGTAGTAAACTTTCAAAGCTGTTGGGCATGAGCCCCATTCAGAAGTGGGCTATAGCATTGATTTGCCAGATGACAAGAAGCACAAAATCTATTTTCATTGTGTGTGCTATACTTGGTGAGAGCGAGAGAGAGAGATCAGATAGAAAATATCACCAACCCATGAACTGGAGTGGAATTTTGTGTCCTATTTCCAGAGCTGAAAGGTTCCTATTTACAGTGAAGAGAGTAGATTTTCTTTTCACTTAGAACTTTATTTTGGGTCCATCCAAAAGGAGTGGTGTCGACAGCCATAGTCCCAAAGTCTACGGTGTGGGTGATTGGCGGCTGCTCTAGTGTGGTTTGCTCCTCCTTTCCTATCAAACATGTATTGTCCTTATCTCTCCTCCTTCTTTTTTGTGTTCGTTCCTCTCTTGTAACACCTCTAATCTTCGGCACTTATATGACCTTTTTGTGTTGCAAGTGCCGTAAAACTTTTACTAAAACTAAAAAAGAAGTCCAAGGTTTGATTTGCTGCATGGAAAAAATGATTATTTTTTTTTCTGTATGGGTCCATGAAATGGTTCCTTTTTTATACAGCTACAGCAAGGTGTCATAAAAGCAGCACTTTTTTTCTCTTTTGTTCAGTTACGGGGGTCATATTCTGCAACCAACCTTGCATGAATATTGTGACCTAATTATCGATAATGCCATATATTTCCTACTCCACTCCACCCTGCTTCTTTAGAAGTTTATAGATTTTTCAGCATTTGACTTTGCTACATTTTCGGCATATTTTTCCATCTCTACCCTCTGTCTGTGAACCTAATGGTTTAGAATAAGCCTTTTTTTATTTCCTTATTGCACCTCATTTTACTGCAGAGGTTGTTCTGTTGTGAATTCTTAGGTATACTTAATTAGTGTCATTGTTTTTGCCAAGTTTTTTATTTGCCTTAATTGCAGCCTGACCCACCTGCTGTTTATAATGCCTAATTTCTTTCTTTCTTTTTCTTTTTCTTTTTTTTTTCTTCTATTTCTCTTTCTTTCTTCTTTTTTTTTTTACCAGAAAGAGTCTCATTGTATGTATTTATATACTTGTAAAGAGTTACTTTTTTTTCTTCTGGTGCCCTTTCTTGATTTCCAACTATTGAAAGAAAGGACTTGATAATGCCCCCACTTTAAGTCAGCTCCTGCTAAATGATTGTATTTAATTTATTCATTCTAGTGATTTGTATCATCATGTTTTTAAAGCTGTGCTCTGTTGGTCCATGTAGCTTTCTTCCTGCCTCTGAAATAAGTTGGCCGTCTCCGAAGGGATGTACAACTTAAGTTTAACGATTTTAAAAGTGTGTTAAAGAATGAAACTGATGGTTCCTGTGCTCTTATATTTTTCAAAATGTGGTGGTTTCTTATTTTCTCTAATAACAATGCAACCTCTTTTGTTTTTTGTCTTTTCTTCCAGTAATGCAACTACCTACAGTGTTCTAGACTTGTACATTATTGTGAATAGTAAGGGCATGCTTTTCCTCTCCTCTCTCTCAGCTCCAGCCCAACAGTGCGTCTGGCTCAGGCACTCTGGAACATGACAGTCAGTCGCTCTATATACGTTGCCCCCCAGTGAGTATGATTTTAAATTCATCACAAGGGGCTGGTTGGCAGATGCTCTGGTGTGGTTTGTTCCTTCTTTCCTTTCATACATCTATTGTATATATCACTCCTCCTTCTTTGTGGGTGGTTGGCAGATGCTCTGGTGTGGTTTGTTCCTTCTTTCCTTTCATACATCTATTGTATATATCACTCCTCCTTCTTTGTGGGTGGTTGGCGGGTGGTCTGGTGTGGTTTGCTATCCTTCTTTCCAATCATACATCTATCGTCCTTATCATTCTTCCTTCTTTGTTTTATATAGTACTATAAAGTAACAATCCTATAATCTGCGGCACTTGTATGGCCTGTGTTTCAAGTACCGTAAAACGTCTGTCATTTTCCTGAAGCAGTGCTGTCATAATTCTATTCCTGTGATTGGTTTTTATATCTCAAAAATGGGATTTACCTCACTTCCTGTTGTCACTGTTGGTGGTTGGTAAGCAATTTAGTGTACTTTGTTTGTTTCATTTCTCCTAAAATCGCATGACCAGATGTTGTGAGTGCTTTGATATTTGATTAACTCCTACTTTTTTTCAGTGTTTCTATTGTCAAAACTTTCTTCTTTGCATTTATAAATGAGCTAATAATGGCAAAGGCTTTTATTCCTGAACATAATTTCAGTGGGTAAGTGGATGGTTGGCGGGTACTCTGGTGTGGTTTGCTTCTTCTTTCCTGTCAAACGTCTATCGTCTTTATTTCCCTTCCTTCTTTTTTGTGTTTGTTACTCTCTTTTAACACCTTTAATCTTCGGCACTTATATGACCTTATTGTGTTGCAAGTGCCGTAAAACACTTACTAAAACTAAAACCCTTAGTAAAACCAAACCCCCCACATTAAAATAAAAATTAACATGGTACAGTGATGATCGTGCTGTAAGACCTCTGTTGTCCACTCCCTTCCCCTCAGAGTGAACCCATTCCCGGCCCGCTGCCCCTGGGAGTGGCGGTCATCGACAGCTCGGTCAAGCTCTACGGCGTCATATTCCCCCACGTGGCCCACAAGCACCGCTACCAGATGCTGCAGCACTTCAACGAGTGTATCCGCCAGGCCAAGGGACCACGCCAGCAGGCCGTCCAGATGAACGTCTTCACTGCCGTGCTGTGTGCTCTCAAGGTGTGTGTGTGTGTGTGTGTGTTTGTATGGGTGGTTGGCAGGTGCTCTGGTTGGTGTTGTTTGCTCCTTCTATCCTGTCAAAACATCTATCGTTGTCCTTATCTCTCCTTCTTTTTTGTGTAAGTTACTCTTTTGTGCGGGTGGTTGGCAGGTGCTTTGGTGTGGTTTGTCCCTTCTATCCTGTCAAATATCTATCGTTGTCCTTATCTCTCCTCCTTTTTTAAAAATGTGTTTGTTACTCTCTTGTAACACCTTTAATTTTCGACACATATATGACCCTATTGTGTTTCAAGTGCCATAAAACACTTAGTAAAAGTTTTTTTAAAGTGAAGGTATGTGTGTGTGTTTTTGTGCTACCATACCAGTCTGTTGCAGTTATGTGTGGTACAATTTTTCTTTCTCTACTTGTGTTCTTTTCCTTCTTGCTTCTGTCTCTCTTTCTTGCTTTTTTACCAGCACTAGATGATTTGTTATAGCAGTGTGCTTTTAGTTTTTTTCAAATAACCATCAGAGATTATTTCACATGCTTCTGTGCCTTCTCATTTGCCGAACCTTACTTCTTTTTCACGAATTTTGAAAAAATATTGTCTAGTCCTCCCACATTTTTCTCAACGTTTTACAACCATCCACATCTAAAACAAGTCTCAGCCAGCACATACAATTGCACACACACTCATACAACATGTGCATACTTTCCTTTATTTGCAACAAATGCAAAACTTCCCCCTTACCATTTGCTATTGGACTACTTTCTGTTAGTGTTATAAAGTTGCTCACTTATCACATAGCAAAAGCAGTCTTTGTAGGTGGTTGGCGGGTGCTCTGGTATGGTTTGCTCCTTCTTTCCTATAAAGAATCTATCGTCTCTGTCTCCCTTCCTTCTTTTTTGTGTTTTTTACTCTCTTGTAACACCTCTAATCTTCGGCACTTATATGACCTACTTATTGTGTTGCAAGTGCCGTAAAACTCCTACTAAACTAAAAAAGCGCTCTTTAACTGTTTCTTTTGTCCTTTTGATGTCTCTTCAGAGCTTGGCAGAACTCAAGTCAAGTCCAGGGCCAGATGATGTAAAGAAAGCTGCCTTCTCTCTTATAATGGTACGCTCATTTTTTTCTTCATGCGATTTGTTTGCGCTTTTTTTTCATTTCACAAAATGTTGTCATAACAATTTCTGGTTTAGTTAATGATAATGGATTAAGACAGGGGTGCTTGGCTTGTGATAAAAATAATTGGGGTTGCTCATTTCCCTTGCAACAACAATGATATGTCCAGTTCTTTTACTTGTGAAGTGCTTCTATTATTATGCTAACTGGCATTTCCTCTAATGTTGTTACCCCTCTTTTTTTTTAACACTCAGCCTGTTTTTTTTTGCCCCCAAGTTGCTATTACAACTACAAATGAACAGTAGGGAGGCTCTCGTGGTCTAAAGATTACAGTGTTTGCCTCTCATTCTTTATGTCCCGGGTTCGAAACCTAACAGCGACGAATAATTTTCTTCTCTAAACTGTTCTCATTTCACCTCCTTACCTGCTCTTTGACCGTGTTCTGTCTGTCGTCTGCTTTCGTCTCCACTTTCTCCACATTAAAGATCCCTTGGTGGTCCAAAATCGATAAAGAGTTGGCTCCGACGGCCACCCGGGCAAAATTCAAAATTAATTCCTGCCAAACTGAAAATGCTTAATATGTCCCACGCCCTCATACAACCATATGCAGTTGCGAGCACCGTAAAACACTAACCAAAACAAAACAAAAAAACAGTATCTTATTATATCTCCCCCCAGGATGCAATGAGCAGCAGTAACCCAATCTTGCGGTGTGCAGCGGGCGAGGCGCTGGGCCGTATGGCTCAGGTGGTTGGCGACAGTAAATTCATCGCTGAGATGGCTCAGCACAGCTTCGACAAGTAAGATCTAGCTGAGCTTTCCATTATTTAAAGCCTTTGTTCCCCCCCCGGGGCAGTGCCACTGACTGTAGTGTCTTTAGGCCATTCCCAAAGGGGGGACATTTCTCGTTCAAGCACAGTAGAATTGTAAATGGGCTGATTCATCATGTCATGCTCATAAATGTGCCTGATCTGCAACAGGGAACTGCTGCTTTTTCTTTCCTAATCCTTACTATTGTCATTTTCCTCTACTTCTTTTGTATGTTTGTCACACTCTTGTGACCTGCTATTTCCGGGGTGCCTTGATAGCCGAAGCAGACCTTGTGCTGTTGAAGCTAGAGAGGTGAGCAGAGTAAGTCTGATTCCGTGTAAAGACTTCTCTGTTGACACCCACCCCTTGGCGCTCATATGACCGTATGCAGTTGCGAGCGCTGTAAAATCTCTACTAAAACTTTTTTTATAGCCTTTGTGTTTTGAAAGATTGTATTGGTATGATGCTGTATATTATCATTACATGATTTACGTATAACTGTTATTACATTTGTCTGTTTTACTTTCCATTGTAACCAAGATTTTTTGGATCAATAAAAGTTATTTACTCTTTTTTTTTAAAAGAAGTTTCCTCTAACTTTAATGTTTCTTACAATTACTTGTGTAGTGATGTAACTGTTGTTCAGATTGCTCAGGGCTGATTTTAATAGGAATATCTTTTGAGCCTTTCTTACCTTTTTTTGTTGGCAACACAATTGGCTTTTTGCTCTTTTTGATTTTTTAAAAACTCGTTTACCTTTTACCTTCTTGATTCCAGATCTTCTTCTTTTTCTTCTCCTCCTCCTCCTCCTCCTCCTCCTCCTCCTCCTCCTCCTCCTCCTCCTCCTCCTCCTCCTCCTCCTCCTCCTCCCCCTCCCCCTCCCCCTCCTCCTCCTCCTCCTCTTTTCTTCTTCTTCTTCCTCTTCGTCCTCTTCGTCTTCTTCTTCTTTTTCTTCTTCTCAGAGCTTGTTTGTCCAGGTACCAAGCTGAGTCAGAGTATCCTATGGTCAGCCTGTGCACAAAAACCTTCAAGGGTTTAGCATGAGTTTTTTGGGTTTTTTAAGTGCTCATAATGGTAAGAATGGATAATTCTTAATAGATAAATAGTTGAACCCTCTGTCAAGTGCATAATTTTGTTGTGTGATTACCATGGAGATTGAAGAGCAGAGACTTGTTTCCCTCTCTTCATTCAAAGTTGGTGATTGGAGGGTGCCGCTTGTAGGTCATAGTACTTCTTACTTAAAGGACTATTATTGTGACCATGTACTTCTCTTGGCTCAAAACTAGAGACTCAAACATCTCTTCAAAGTTATGATAAGTGATTAACTTATTTGTTGGCCATTGTCTTCTTTAGGTTGAAGTCTGCCCGAGATGTTGTGAGTCGAACTGGCCACTCTCTGGCTCTTGGCTGCCTGCACCGATACGTGGGTGGCATGGGTTCAAACCAGCACCTGAACACTTCGGTCAGCATCCTGTTGGCTCTAGCTCAGGACTTCAACTCACCTGTTGTCCAGGTAAGTCAAGTGTTACTTTGCTACCTGATATCTCTGTATGACGTGAAGACCAGCTACAAAGATTTTGTTCTCCAGATTTTTGTAATGGAAAAGATAACTTGGTTTTTACTCTTTAAAATAGTAATACTTATGATGATCTTTTTTATCTGCTGCCCGTCTTTTTATATATTTTGGTCTTATCGAATCTTTAGCGGAAGTTTCATTTGCCTGTATGTCCACCAGACCAGAAATCCGGCGACCTCAATTCTCTCCCCCTTTCTTCTTCTAGGTGTGGGCCCTGCACGCCCTGGCCCTGATCGCCGACTCCGGCGGGCCGATGTACCGCAGCTACGTGGAGCCCACACTGTCGCTGGTGCTGCAGCTGCTGCTGTCTGTGCCGCCCGCCATCGTGGACGTCCACCAGTGCCTGGGCAAGTGTCTCTCCGCCCTCATCACCTCCATCGGACCCGAGCTGCAAGGTAGGTGGCTGGCGGGTGCTCTGGTGTGGTTTGCTCCTTCTTTCATATCAATAGCTATCGTACTTCTCTCTCCTCCTCTTTTTTGTGTTTGTTACTCTCTTGTCAAACCTAATCTTCGTACTACTGTGACCTTATTGTGTTGTAAGTGCTGTAAAACTCTTACTAAAACTGAACGAGCTGCAAGGTGGGTCGGGTGCTGTGCTGATGCCATGCAGGAAACTGGTAATTTTTTTTACATTTGTTAGGCATGCTGATAAAAACGAATTACTTCTCGCAATCCAAAAATGGAGATATCAGCCCCAAATTGACACTGGGGTCAGATTTATAGATTTTCAGTTGATGCCATTTTCTTCAAGTATACCGTGTCTTTTATTATTCCATACTTACACATTTAACAAACTCCACCAGTAATGTTGATGTATTACTTTCCATAAGGCTAAAATCCAAGAAATAACTCGTTTTGTCAGCACACCTCTCATTTGTGTGTGTGCCTGGAGAAAGGTTGCAGTTGTCGGCAAAGCTATTTTTGAGCAACAGGGTGAAAAGACCAAAAAAGTCGTTCTTACTAGAAACAAAAAACAAACTCTTACAAAAACTAAAGTGACTCAAACTGAACCTCGGCAGGCAACTCGAGCGCCATCGGCACAGCCCGCCTGTACTGCCTGGTGTGCTGCGCTGTCATGCAGGCCCACCCCGACTCGCTGGTCCAAGCCGAGGCCATCGCCTGCCTGCAGCAGCTGCACATGTTTGCCCCCCGCCACCTCAACCTGTCCAACCTGGTGCCTCACCTCTGTGTAAGTACGCCCTTACTCATTGCTCTCTCATGGGGACAAGTCGCTACCTCAGAATTACACAAGTTCTGTGTGACATTTTTGGCCGTTTTGAGTTACTAAGACCAAGAGATCAGAAATGAAATGTTTTATGTGCTCTATAAAAATAGTAAGATTATTTTGAGTCGTTATAAAGATAATTTTTTCATTTTGGTATCAGATTCATCATTGGGCTATCTCATATAAGCTGATAAAATGTGTCACGATGCAGTGGAATCTAGAGAGAAATGAGTGGAAATCCACGCTCATTGATGTCTGTTCCGGATCTGGCACTCCATGATGATTGAAATAGATAGTTTATTTGTAATGTCAGTTTCCCTTTGGTACTTTGGATTGAGCCGTAGCTTGGTCCGACTTTGTGTCCGGTCCTTTCGGAGATGGACTTTATAGTCAGAAATCCCACCTCTTAAATAATCTAATAGTGTTGATAAGGGCACAAATAATAAAGATAATAATAATGATAGATTGCATATATGATGCTTTATCCCATACAAAGATAAGCTCTGAGGAATGTTATACCTATACCATTTCACCTGTGGTACTTATTTTCAGGAGAACCTGAGCAGCTCTCACCTCCTGCTGAGGCGTGCGGCGGTGTCGTGTCTGCGCCAGCTGGCCACCAGGGAGGCCGGGGACGTGAGTTCTCTGGCCCTGTCACTGGTGGTGGGGCAAGGGAAGGACTCCAAGACAAACTCGCATATTGCTGACACAGGTATGTGGGTGGGTGTGGGGGTAGGGGAGTTGAT